AGGTTGACCAGAACGTCGAGATAGGAAAGTCACTTTTTGATCAGGAGGTAACTAAGAGTGCATACTTCACTTTGATTTGAGTTAATGAAGTTAGCCAAGCAGCGTCCTGTCATTTGATTAAACGATATTTAATGTTTGAGGGTGCCAAGATCGTCAAGGAATTGCTGGCTAAGGCCAAAGAAAAAAATGTCAAGATTCATCTGCCTGTAGATGTTGTAGTTGGCGATAAATTTGCGGAAGGCGCGTCTTCCAAAGTAGTCACGCTTGCTGAAGGAGTTCCGGCAGGTTTGTGGAAGGAACTAAACGGCTGGCTATTCTGTCTTCGTATTTTTTTGCTGCTACCAGTAGTCTATACTACGTTTCAGCAGTTTTGTGCAAAGAATCTGGTGTGTAATGGTAGTAGTATCATATAATTGAATGAAATGACCCATTTCATTAAAATTTCCAAGGAATTCCCTGATGATTTGTTCCTTGAAGAGGATAATAACTCCTGTTGGAAATATATTTAGGAAGTCTTTTAAGAGGTTATTACATTTTTTCATTGGTGTTGCCAGGAACTATACCTTTTAATAGGAATCGGAAACTTTAGAAAACTGAGTACACTGCTACACTAGTTCGTTTCACTCATTGAAAGACATTGTGTAGTTCCATAGTCTATTTTGTTGTTGGTAGTATGCAAGTTGTAGCAAAAGGTAAAGAATTTAAGTCACTGGGACTTTATTTCACCACATTTTCCTCATTTCTCTAATTATAGGACGTATTTCCAGACCAGTGTTACCTAGAGCTCCTTCACTTTTAGATCATATGGGTTTGGATGTTGGACCAAAGAGTGGGGAGTTATTCGCTGAGGTCATTGCTCGCGCAAAAACTATCGTTTGGAACGGTCCTCCTGGAGTTTTTGAATTTGAGGAGTTCTCGCATGGAACGAAGACTATGATGGATGCCATTGTTAAGGCAACTGCTGGTGGAGCTGTTACAATCATAGGTACAGTTTACTTTCTTTCATCACTCCAGTTTTGCCGTTCTAGAACAAAATTGTATTTTTGAATGTTGTTATTCAGGTGGTGGTGATACTGCAACTGTTTGTAAGAAGTTCAATACTGAGAGCAAAGTCAGTCATGTATCGACTGGTGGAGGTGCTAGTCTCGAGCTTCTCGAAGGTAGTCCGCTTATTTATTTCCAATAAGGTTTTGAAGAAATTCTCCGCTTTACATGGATCATTTCAGGGAAAGTGCTGCCTGGAGTTGAAGCGCTCTCACCCGCTGTTTGAACCCTTCATCTTGAAAGCATAATTGCGGAGACTTAGTTTTAGCTCTCGTTGCTCATTGTTTACTTTGATTACCATTTGTTACGAAAGCTGTCGATTTACAGTTCTCTCTAAAATGCTCCATTTATGCCAACATATTCTTCTAGGCTTTCTTAGTTTAGTGAGTGTCGTAGAAAGTATATTCCTCCGCTTCTGCAACCTTGTCTTCAATTGACCTGTGTTATCTGGGTGTATCAATTGCGGAGTTGGTCGTTTGACCTTTTCTAGTGATAAATCCGATTTTTTTTATAAAGTGTTTGATCCTTTCAGGACTACCTGTGGTTTAACAATTTTTCTTTCGATCTGTGAGCACTGCTCGTTAATCGTTTATTCGCAGGACTTCGTTAACATTTTATGACATTAGGAACCAGTGTTTCAAAATAAATCACAATTCGTAAACTGAAAACGAATGGAGTGTTGAGTGGTTTCTACAAATTTGCATTAGCGATTGGCTTGTTTAGAAAGCTCAGGTGAGATTTTCGATGAAAGTCTGCACTAATAAGATCCATTCACCGCATTCTTGCTTCAGAGTTACGTGGTTTCTCTGTGAGCATAAGTAGCATAGAGTTGCTGTGCCGATGATAGATATTTACCATTATTTGGTATTCCGTGGGAAGTCTACCCTTCTGTTTGAGTAACGTCGTATCATTGTTCGACACCTAGGTACATTGGTTAACCGTATTGAGACAACTACCGCTGGAGGGTGTAGGAGCACGGCAAGTAAATCGTGTCGTCTCCATATTTCCATTCCGAACGGATTTGAGAGTAAGCCAATGTCTGAAGGAACTGCAGTGCGGGAGATAAGACAACGGATAATAATTGGCGATATGAGAAGCTTGTACATGCTTTTTTAGAAAAAAGGAATCTTGCCTAAGTAGCGAATTATCTGGCTCTATGTTGCTTCATTCTTATCTCAAGCTAAGCCTCCTCCCGGTTTCTGCTTGCTCAACTGGTAACAAAAGCACTATATTTTTCACCCAGGGTATTCATGAAGAAGCCTGACCGCCAACCCTCTGATCTTCTTGTCGTGCGCTTAATTTAATCGGTGGAAGCCAGCTGTTAATGGCACCTGTCCATCCTTTATTACTAGGATGTATCATGCACGGCTCAACTGATTATCGACACGTTTAGACGTAGCCTTCGGTGGTATAGCGGTTGCCGTGCTCCACATTTCCTCCCGTTTGCTCTTTATGGAATGCTCTTAACATTATACTTTCGATGATACGTCCGATAATACCAACCAATTTGTCATCCTGCTCGAATGCATGATGAGAAGTGGCTGCTAGACCTGAATGTTTTTCGTCCTCTCCTCTGCGTCCTCGACGCCGCTGTAAGCTTCCCACGTCAACCGCTTCATCTTACTTAGTTCTGAAGTTAATCCTTTTTCAGTTTGGATTGTTGACCCATGTACACATAGATGTAGCATCAGGAGAAACCAGTTAACTGGACAGTGTTATCAGATCCATTTAATCTTCCTTTTAATTCTTCACAACTAAATAGTTGTAAAGATATGTTGCCGCGGCTGTTTCTAAGTGTTTCAGACGTTTGAAATGAATGTTCACTACTCATGGGGAGGAATCGTTTATTATCATAGATACAACACCGGCATCAATTTGCGAGCGACTTCTCGAGCTCCTGAAAACATGAACCCTTTCGGATGTACACCGAAAAAATCAAATAAAAGGCTACTAGAAAAGAATCACTAACCTCGTCACGTTCTTTGCACGTCGCAAAGGAGCTATCTTCGTCACCCTCCACACAAGTCTCGAACGAGTCTTGTTGTACGTCGAAGTCGCTTGCGGTAACGTAACTCAACGCTGAATAGGAGAGTACATAGTGTTCAATATGATCAAGTTCATAAACAGTAGTTTTATGGGTTAAAACTGTCGATTTCGATGAGTTGCCGATGACCGAGCAACCATCTGAAGACGTTACAGATTCACCAAGTGATGAGAACGTTTCAGTCAGTCTAGAGATAATAGTTGGATAAGCGATCTTGAAGAAATCCGTCTTAGTATCATACCCATAGGGTCAATGCAGTATACCAGAAAACCGGACTAAAAACTCAGGAAAACCAAGTCTTTATTAGGACCAGGTATGAATTAAGGAGTCTGCTGCTGAAACCCATTCATATTTCGAAGAAATCTGTACAACGTACTATTTGGAGAGGCGGCTGACGAGGCTATTGACTCGTCGATTGGCCCCGTTTCAGTGGAGCTCGATTGCTCCTTGGGATCCTTGGATTCGACGACTAGCGCAGCTTGTCTTGACTCGGTAGATCTCTTCGCTTCTGTGGACATGGAAATGACGGTGGAGTGAAGAGGCTCGTTTATATACTCCACCTTATCATTAAAGTGATAAGCTTCACGCTGTGGAAGATAGCAAAAGATTACGTTACTTCTGCTTATAATCATGAGCACACTGCACCTTATCATTTCAGTGATAAGCCTTTAAGCCTAACAATTTTTTCTAGACAAGTCTAACACAAATTTTCCGATCCCTGATATGAAGGATTCCATTCGGTTCCTGCATATACGACTATGTCAATTTGCTTGCTTATCGTTTTGATATCATAATCATCTAATACTCTTCGTGAGAAGAATTTATTACTTAGTGAAAGTTGACAAGCATTTAGCGGAGAAGGTACTGGATAATTAACATGACTGGCCTGCAACAAATAAGTTATTTTTACAATTGACACGAAATGCATAACAGTAACCACTGATACCACCCAACGGTTTACCGCCTCATCGTGGTTAGGAGGTGTTCCTGGGTGTCAGACTGCGATGTTGAACGGGGGATTCGTCCACCCGGCAGGGTCTCCCAAGGTGAGAAGGAGTGCGAGGTTTCCATCAGGATGCCTAGGTAAGAGTAAACCAATACCAGGATCCACCACCGTTTTCGTATCAAAGTCTCATGGTGGTAAATCTCTCTCTGATCCACAAGGGCTGTGACGACCTGGGGCAGACTTTGGCTAAGCTATCCTCGGGATTCCAAGGAACCACAACGGCTTAACCAGCAAATCTCTGAAACATGGTGATTATGCTGAGGCCCGCATAACTAGTGATAACGGACCGTTCAAGTATCAAGTATCAAGTAACCACTGATAAGAAACAATGTGAACACAATGATTAAGAAAGGAAAGGTGGTGAATTGTTTTTTGGAAACTGTATTTTGGTGGGAGCGTTTAAAGAGTGTGTTCAGTATTGGGCCATAGTTGATCATTATATTCTAGCTAGTTCTTTTTGGAAAATGTCTATTGTAAGTGAAGAAATGCGTAGTTGATGGACTTCAGACAAAGTTGGTATAAAAATAGTCCTTTTATTTACTGCCTTTTTTTTTCTTTTTAATGACAGGGTATGTTGCGAAATATAACTCGTATAGAATGCTGAGATATTTGCAATACTCCGGACCGCAGGTGTATGCGGTGGGGAACGAACACGCTATTGTCCTTTCCGGGGAGTAGCGCACTTTACCACCACACCAACCGGGTCCTTCGTTTTGCCTGTCTCTCAGCTAGTTCTATTGATCTTTTGCCATCAGCAATCACACCCTGCCATTAAAAAGAAAAAGGCAGTAAATAAATGGGTTAAGATTGTGATTATAACTAAGCCTCAGCTTAACTGGGTTCAATGCTGATTTGGGCTCCCCAGATCAATTCCGTCGACGGGTGATTGCTGATGGAAAAAGATCAATAGAACTAGCTAAGAGACAGGCAAAACGAAGGACCCGCACTGTGTGGCGGTGAACGCGTTACTTCCCGGTAAGGACCATAGCGCGTTCGTTCCCCACTGCAGACACCTGCGGTCCGGAGTTTTGCAAATATCTCAGCATTATATAAAAGTTGGTATACTTGAAAAATTGTTTTTTATTTGTACTACGATACCTTATATTATGCGAATGGGTGAGATGTGGCATTATCCCATCCAGAGGAGTGGTATTTGAAGTATTACTAAGTGCTTCGGCCGCCGTTAACTACTAGCTAGATTCCAGAGAACAGCTATGGATGCTAAGTATTGATGGTCATCTAATCTGACGAATGGCTTGCTGTTAGCCCGTCCTGGTTTGCTTCTTGCCTCCAGAAATTCAATCTGTAACAGATGATTCTGCAATGTAGTCAGCTTTATCGAGAATCTAAGTTGAGTGCATGCTAGTGTGTGGCAACGCCTTGAGAAAGCCAGGGTAATGAATAGTCTGGATCCTGCATTTTATATGTGCCGTTGTACGATAGTTCGCACGGTAGGTTTATAACAACAGCGATGATGACTTTATTTACATTTGAGAGCTTAATTGGCCTCTCATGACAAAGAGTGGGAAGTCGGAGATATTTCTGGGGTGTCTTAGAGAAACAGAGCCTCTTAAAGCAACTACTACATGGAAGCCCTACCAGCTGGCACTTTTTCTCTAAGTTTGGCTCCAGTGTTCACATTCAGGCATAAATTTCTTCGTAATTTCCCAGATATATTTTATCGCAAAGAACTTTTTCAGATAAATCTGACCGTAGGCTTCAAAGGATGAGAGATTTGCTTGGTTTGGGACTGGTCGAACTAGGGCCGTGATCGCGTTATTGAACAGCATCGTTAGCCACTGCTCCTCCTGTGCCTCCATATCGTAACGTCCGATAAAATGAACCAGCAGCAACATTGTTGTTTTGAAATTGAAGAAGGAAAGCAGCAAAACACATGGAAAATGTTTCTGCATGAAATAATCGGCGGAATAAAGTGTGCACTGAAACGAAGAAACAAATAAAAGATGACGATGGCAAGTTCCCCAAAAAAGTGGCTGTTTTTACAATGAATTTCAGGGTCCTCCACTTCTGGTTCGCTTTTCGAAAGATTGCGACCTTGTGATCTACCTCATTGATTGTTCGAAACGAGAACACGGCCGTGATGATGGAGAGTGCAGGCGATCAGCGCATTTTCCCACACTAGGACATGGGAAAAGTAGGCGGATCGCAGCCATCGGCATATTAAAATCCAGCAAGACGACAACATAACCAGTCGTCGAGTTTGCTCGCATCCCAGCTACTCCGCTATAATCAGTCAGCCATGTACGACAGTGCGCACAAAATTCCGAAGCCGGGACGTCTGAAGGACACTGTGGGAAGGTGTGGCAGTAAGGTTGGTGCTGTATTTCGGTTTGAATCACTCTACCAAATGTTAATTTTATTTGTTGTGTGTCGCAATGGTGTAGGATCATAGTTTGCTGTAGCTCTTGAGCTACTTACTGCAATGACTAGTTGGGTTCGATATCTCTGTGGATGAAATTTCCAAAACTCATTGGTGACGAATGCATTGAATACTCTGCATAGGACCGTGGTTAACAAGATGGTCATTGATTGTTCTATAGCAGAAATTTAAGTTCGGACGGCTTCTCTATATACTGTTCCAAGTGCGTTTTACATATAGCTTTGAATTTGTTTACCTAACAACATGGAGCGGCTATTTTTGCGGCGTCTTTTAATACTCTTTATTTCGAATGGAAAGAAAGAGATCGAGGCGAAGAAAACCGCGAGAGATGAGCATGACGAGGACAGGCATTGCCCATCTACGAATCCTTGGATTGGTTTTCTTCTATCTTTTGGCCCGTCTACAATGTAATCAGCTTTGTCGAGAATCTAGATTGAGTGCATGCCAATGTATGGAAACGTCTTGAGAAAAGGATGGGAATGAATATTCTGAATCCTGCATAAGTGCCGTTGTACGATAGTTTGTAGGGTAGACTTGTAACAACAGAGGTGATGCTCTTATTTACATTTGATTGCTTAATTGGCCTCTCATGACAAAGAGTCAGAAGTCGCAGGAGTTTCAGTAGAATTCCTATTACACCGGTAATTCGCCTCTCAGTTAAAATTTTCTTCCTTTGGAACGCCGTGAAAGATTTCACTGGCCGTCATCGCTTGTCGGCTAATTAACACTTTCCTGCCAATATTGCAGTGATTCCTGGCACTTGTTTACTCGTAGTCGACGTCCTTGTGAAAGTGTCAAAGTAGGCTTGGAAAGTCCATGAAGGGAATAGATACGTGCTCTGCAAGCCCATTTGACACTCACCGCAACTGCGTACATAAAAGTTTCCCACGCTTTTCAATACCGTCAAGTGGTTTGAAGTTAAATGTGATGCCATGTGAATTCGCAGAACAACGCAGAACCTTACGATGGAATCCGGTACCAATTTCCACACCACGGAAAGATATGAGGGTTGGTTACCCCGGAGCGACATCGAACTGGCACCATGCTCGTTTTGACGGAAATCACTAGCCCTATGCTATCCGCTGCAGAGTTATTGTTTTAGGATTCAGATTTTGGCGGTGGTGTTCTGGAATTCTTTTCAGGAGCGCAAGAGGCTATTTAACTAATGGTCTAATTCATATTAAAGATACAGCGGTGGAACAACTCGTACAGGTGAGTATTATTTATTCTGTAGATTTCACTGCATTAACTCTGATCAATAGACGTTTATGATTTTCTCTTCGTTTGATGTTGCGTTTCTCCTACAAGTCAGAATTGGATTTGTTGAATTAAATTGGATTAGGAAGTATGGAGATGAGTGGACTAAATGGTTTAAGTCGTGGGAAACAAGAAGTGTAAGAGGTAACCGTGCGAAATCAGCAGTGAAATATTGTAGATGATAGTATTTTGAGCATACAATTTTACCTTGCTTGAAACAGGAATGTGTATTGGATCCATTCCTCCTGAAGGATCAGCTGAAACTATAGAGTGGTCAAATTCCTAAATACTTTGTCAGCATGCGTTTCCAGAGAAAGTATGTCTCCATTTTAGTTAAAATAGTCACTCTGCGCTGTTTTGAGGAGGTGGTTATCGACGACCCTTTAGCTAACCGATGAGTGAGTTTGTCAGATGTTGTACTGGTCTGAATAGACACCTGTGTGAGCGCCTTCTGTCGTTTTTGTGAAAATGCCATTGGCAAGCATTGGTCGATTAATTTTACTAAGATTTTATTGAAGGCATCCCATATGTATAAAATCTGAATTGGTTTTATGGAAGAGTTGTCCCAGTATTGGTATTTTTCTTTGAAAAATATTGTGAAACCAAGAAAGTTCCTCAAGTAACGTTGCAATGTCACTGTCAGAAAGTACTCTGTCGCTCAAGTACACTCGGTTCGACCCTTTACGCTATCTTTTACACATTTTGTAAGTGCATGCGCTGAATTGCAAACTAATGCCTAAAGGTAAACCAGTACCAGAACCCACTACCGTCCTAGTATCAAAGTGGTGGCATGGTGGCGAATCTTCCTCTGATCCGAAAAGACGGCGACTGCCTGTGGTGATGAAGACCTGGGGCAGACTTTGGCCATGCTGACCTCGAGACACCAGAGAGCCACAATGGCTTCGCAAGCAAATCTCCGAAAAATGGAGATCGTGATGGGTCCGCACAACCAGTGAGGACGGGTCGTCCAAGTATCCAAATAAGTAATTTGCCTCAACATTAGTGTGTTTGCTGCTCTGAATCCTTGTAATAATTTTGCTCAGTAGAATTGTATGCGTCCATTTAGCACTCACCTTTCAGGAAACAAGTGACTCTTCCCATTACTTTTTATTAAATGGGTGTATGTGGCGTAAAGACCAGGAAACTCTGGCACGACGTGAAGCTCATAATCGTGAAAACTGTGCTGGCAATGGTTCCAGAATTACTGATTGATTCGTTACGAACAACAGTTCCACTACCAACGCAACCCACAGTGCTTACAGGTATGCAGTTTTTCACCAGTGAAATGCATCGCTAGCAAAGACCATTTAAGAACCAAGCGGTTGAATGCTCTCTTAACGAAGCTTATTGACTTCCTACTCCTATAGATGCCATATAAATTGTCGCCAAGAAAATGTAAAAGGAAATGGTGTAGGATTTTGACAATTGTCATAGTTAACAAGAGAAAGTAATTAAAATCCAGAAAATCTTTCAAATCTTTCCTCACGTAGTAACTTACTTACTTGATACTTGGACGGCTCGGCTCGTCCTCACTGGTTGTGCGGGCCACAACATAATCATAATTTTTCGGAGATTTGCTGGTTAAGCCATTGCGGTTCCCTGGAATCCCGAGGTCAGCCTGGCAAAAGTCTGTTCCAGGTCTTCACCACCACAGGCAGTCGCAGCCCTTGTGGATCGGAGGGAGATTTGCCACCGTTCGACTTTGATACCAGAACGGTGGTGGATGCTGGTATTTTCTTACTCTTAGCTAGGCTTTCTGATGGAAACGTCAGACTGCTTCTGAACTTAATAGACCCGCCGGTAAGTAAATCCACATGCTGTACATCGCAGTCCCACACCCAGGAAAATCTCCCAGCCACGATGAGGCGGTGAACCGTTGGGAGGCACATAGTAACCAGTTTTCAAAACTGTTTCGGTTGTTTTTCTGATATTGTTCCTGTGCAAATCGTTTCCAAGTGTGGCCATTGCATATCGAGTCGACATTTTTTTTTGGCTTATTCTGTTTTCCAATACTTATCGTCAAATCTGGTGTGTGGATGCGAACACTTCTCGCATTCTGTTCGTGTTCTCCCGTCCAACTTCCATAATGATCTTCGAACCGTTCGCTTGTTGTTTCAACTGCTATTTGAGGATTTAGTCTTCTTTATGATTGTCGTAGGATGCTGGCATAGTCAACTCTGTCTGCAATCTTGGAGATAACCGGGCTAAGGCGTTCTCACGTGGATTGGAGGTGGCTTTTGGGGTGGGCATAGAACTAGAGCCTTTGCTTCCTGATTGGCTGCATCACTAACCACTGCGCTGTTCGCGACCACGATTCCACGTTAACTGTTACACCGCCTGAACTACAAAATGAATAGGTTTTTGTGACAGCTAATGTCCGTCCAGCGTTGAATTCTTCAAACTGTTCGATAATTTTTTTCCTTTTTATGAGTTTCATTATGGTGGTTTTCTCTACTAGGCTTCGTTACCAGCTTTCTGAGGATCCAGATCTCATCTTCTCCTCTTGATAAAGTTCTTGTACATATGCAGTTGTGATTTGTGAAGAGCATCGTTTCTCTCGAGTTTACCTCGTTATCGATTACGGAGGCGAAGTAATAATTAACCTTTATTGGTCACAATTACTTTTTTATCTCTGTGAGCTATTTCGTCAAGTAATACGATGAAGAGATTTACCAGGATGCAGTGCTGCAATTCAAAGTTCGATCTGTTCTCCAGATAGTCCTGTCAAGGTGTGCTGTTCTCGAACGTTAAGTAACTCGCTATATGGTGGTTCATCTTTGTGTAAGCTCCGAAGAACCTTGGTCGCAGAGGGCAGCATCTCGTTCAGTGGCAATGTAGTTGAGTTATAAAAAGTGGCGATTTGCCTGGAATCCATTCTTCAAAAAAATTTAGGAACAAGGAGAGAATTCATTTTATTTCATTGTCAATATGATGACAATCTGTTGCTATGAGTGGGCAACCAAACAATACTAATTCATGAGGACTTCCTTCCCTTTTCTTGAAATAATGTGAAACCAAACCTCTCGAATTTTGGCAAAGGTTTCTCGCCATGCCCTTTCCACCAGATACCAGCATGTATCTTTCCATTCTACAGAAACTTCAATGTTGTGCCATACCACAATGGTTGGTTATAGCCGGTTTTGCTACTGAATGATGGGAAGGGTTCTTTCCATTATGCGGCTGAATTGAGCGCTTGCGTGAGGAAGACAACGATCCGATCCAGTGCAGAACTGTGGAATTTTGGATGTGTGAATGGAGCAAAATCCTTTTTTTGCGGATATGATCGATTGGGAACTCCCATGTATAACTGGAATTTCCTTTCTTTTGGAAAGGAGGATGCCCATGGAAGATAAGTACTGTGGGTAAGAACATCCATAAGGATAGTTTCCATTGTTATTTGGACTTCCTGTAGATGATTTCCCTTCCGTGCGTTCGTTTTCGCTGACTCTTCTTGATATGTCGCACTTAATTCGTTTTGTAATTTGCACAGCTCAGTAAGTAATAACCGACGATATCTATCTTCTGTTTACGCTCAAGTGAAAGTTTTATGTGACATTTCATGAAATCTGCACTCCGTTCCTAGAGCACTTGAACGATGTCTTCTGAAGTTCAGCCTGAACTCACAACGTATAGCCAGACTACGCAGTTTAGATCTTAGAAACATATACCATATTAGTGATCCAGGAGAATGTACATCGATAACGAAACACAGTTGCGCCAGTCATATAATAAGAAGAACTGACTGCACAAGTGGACGCAATGAACAGTGAAGTGAACTCCAACAGAATGCATGTTCGTGGAAAACCACCCAGATGATGAGCGTTCGTATTCGTCGCTAACATCAACCACTTCCATTCCCAGACGAGAACGATTTTAAGGACTATGGAATGGGTTTTGCGGATGTCACCATGTTCAAGCCGCAGTACCAACATGGGCGTCTATTGCAAGGAAAAAAAACGAATGGAAAATATTCTGGGGTCCACAAAACTCATGAGGGTTGGCCATCCAAGTAAGTAAGTTTCTTATGTGGTCAAATAGCTATTTACTTTTTGCAAAGGCTAGTTTGGTTGAGATTGATTGTGTAATTTTGGCGGTATTCTAGAGATGTTTGAAAGACCCATAACCAAGAAGAGAAGAATGGAAGTCTTTTTGTGTATATATTGTGTTGACAGCATGTTTGTAATGATTCTCAATGTGTGGGATGTTATAAGAAAAAAGGTAGACTATATTCTGAAATAAAGCAGTTACGGCAAGCTGTTTCTTTTCTTTCCACAAGGTTTCCAACCTAGTTACTTCGCTCCGTTTATTCATGTACTGTATCTCATATTCTCAAGGTTCATTGAGGCCTCCACTCAATTTTTTGTATTCTTAGGCTATGGATATAGAAAGCGAGAATTCAAGTACAACTACTGGTGCTAAAATCCATGAAACGTTTGCATCGGACGCAGCTGAAGTATCGGAAGGTGGTATCTCAAAACCAACTGCTCAAGTTTCAACCACTACAATTCAGCAGGCGTCTTCAGCTCAACGTGGTTTGCCAAACTACTCTCTTTTAGCGGAGCTGAATGGTCATCAGAAATCCGTACTCTCGTTGAAGTTCTCACCGTGCGGTATCTATTTGGCCTCAGCTTCGGCAGAGACAACTATCCGTGTGTGGTTTGTAAACGATGGTAAACCTATGCAGACATTGATTGGACACAAAGCTGGGATCAATTGCCTCGCATGGAGTTCGAACTCGCTTTTCCTTGCCTCCGCGTCAGACGACAAAACGGTGAAAATTTGGGAGGTGGGGACTGGGAAGCGCATCAGAACTCTCAGAGGTCACACTAGTAACGTAGTTTGTTGCGCATACAATCCGCAGTGTGAGATGGTCGCCTCGGGATCGTCCGACAAGACTGTGAAGATTTGGGATCTCCGTACAAGACTCTGTAGAGCAGTTCTGCCTGCTCACGGCGATATTGTTACAGCGGTCTCTTTCAATCATGACGGAATCCTACTATGCTCGAGCTCTTATGATGGTCTTGTGAGGATTTGGGAAACCCGGAATGGTCGGTTTCTGAAGACAATAGTAGATCATGACGTTGTCCCATTGGGCTTCGTTAAATTCTCACCGAATGGCATGTACATCTTAGCATCAAGACTTAACAGCACTCTTAAACTATGGGATTTCATTGAAGACAAGTGTATGAAGACTTACACTGGCCATGTCAACCAAAACTACTGGATATTTTCGAATTTCTCTGTGACGGGCGGAAAATGGATCGTATCTGGATCAGAGGACAAGAAAATCTACATTTGGGACCTGCAGACGAAGGAAATTGTTCAGACGATCGACTGTCGGCAAGATGTCGTTCTGGCTACCGACTGCCATCCCAATCAAAACATAATAGCCTCGTCTGGACTTGGGTCAGATTTTTCAATTCACTTGTGGAAGAGTGACTTTTAAACCATGAAATCTTTTTCATGTGTATTCTTTTCTTGGAGACGTTTATGTGTAGACGTTATAGTTCGTGTGAGGTCCGATCTTTTATTTTATTCTTAATCCGATGCCTGTAATTCTTGTGATGTGCATCTTTTTTCTATTGTTTACGTCTACAAGTTTACTTAATGAAGTCTATAATCGATGTTTATGTAACACTTGCATGCAAGAGATATGAGAGTGCGTACTTTAAGGTCTCAATGTTTTATAAAATGTGATCAATGAATGGAATCGTAGAGAAATGGCACTCGATCAAAGGCTTTCGACTTTCATGAGTCAGTGGGACTGCATGGAATTTTCGTTATCCCATTCAAAGTCGGCTTCTTCATCGACAATTTTACAATATCGCTGGAATGTAGAACATTTAAGGAGGTAATACTAGTGGCTGTCCTGGTGTTTCTATTCATGGTTCCCATTGATCAGATGCATATGTCGGTGTATTTCGAGTGCTGCATCGGTGACTGTGGGTTCATCCAAGCTTTGTTGCTGATCTGTTTGTTATTTGCGAAACAATTGTGTCCTGGTTACCGTCGCCAAGTGCTTCATTTAAAAAAACTCGTTTTGGGCAGAAGCTGTATATAGGGGTTTGATCCTTATCAGCATCTGTTTTTGGGATTTAGGACATTTGAGGCTTTCTTTTTGTTCTAATCATGAACGAACCAATACTGTGGTCGTAAAGATCAGATACCATTACGAGCAGAATACGGGTAGTTTGTGACCAATTGTGATTTCTTCACTATCACTAGGTCAAGAAGCCGGGTTATTATGCACTATTTCCAAACTGTTACTTTTCATTAGTCTTTCGATATAATACGTTAAGCGGAGTTTCTCATGGTCTTTATTCTTAGTATTGACCATGTGGACTTTGGATTTCCTAGTTAAAATTTTGAACAAAAGATGTAATGAATGCGATTGAAATCTGACCTTGAGTGCTGTTACGAGTTTCATATATTCTGGGAAGGAACTCTAGCTGAGATCACGAAGCAGAACCGAAAACATTTCGAAGTGGAATGGGAAGTTATTCTCCATTCAGCACTCATGTTGCGAGAACAAATAGCGCTTTAAGTTATTTCAAGAGTAATTAGAGAAATGCGTAATCAAGATTTGCGGAACCACAAGTTTAATGGTGGAGCCAGATATTTCGAACTAAGGCTTCTTCATTTGGAATATGCCGTCATGTTCTTTAATTGTAGGCCATAGTAATGACTCTTCAGCTCACTCGACTCGAGTGTAGATAGACGCTCCAGAGATCATCTACATGTATCAAGAGCGATCAGATTTTAAATACATTGCAATCACTGTTCTCTTTTATCGAAATTTTGATAGTGCTGTATACAGTAGATGTGGAAGTCCATCAATGACAAGATTAACCATCTCGATAAGGAGATAAAGTTGATCAGGAAAAGATCGTCAGTAAACGTCAGCTAGAGATGAATCCAACATCTACTTAATCTGGAAGGAACAATGATGGAAGCTGAGGAGTGGTAATAAAGTGGTTGAACGTTAGCGATCGGAACAGTATTAAAATAGCCTAAGTCGGTGTTACAAAGAACACCACATATTTTCGACCATCAGGTCGCTGAAATCCTTGTAGAATTTCTGAGTAGTTAGGGCATTGACGAATCTGTTCTTTCCTCTCATGTGTGACTAGCGAAGCAATACACAGTACCTCTTAAGGGCTTCGCGCGTTCTATCGCGCGTATATCACCAGATATAAATTCGTCGTTTTCTCTCTCAGCACTCGAGAGGTTGCTAAACAGCATACGTCTACTTCCATGCAATAACATATACAACACAATCGTAGCTAACGTTTCGGCAGAATCGCCTTCTTCAGAGCCTAGAAGGGTACACTAATACGCAACTTACTAGTTCAAACGCCTCAATAATACACACACACAGAAAGATGAGGATTTAAATGACAATCAAATGGTTAAGATTTTCCCGAGAATTTCAAGAATTTCCGAAAATGACAGTTTCTGTCCCATCGTTGGACAGAGTTTCAGTTACCTGGGAAACCGCCTTCGGCATATTTAACCCCGTAATCCTCATCTATGGAGGCAGTCCTGGACTCAAATCAAAGGTGAGTGTCATCCCTTTCGGTTTCAAGCGATTCTTCATTCTTCTTTATTTTTGCAATAGAATCTTTTCAGTGTCAACCCGCAAAAACGTCGCTCTTCATCTTTCTCTATTGACACCGCACTTAGTTTTGCAAATTATCCAGTAGTGACGTTGTGCGCTAAGATGCTCGGCTTTCGGGAAGTTAGTGTTCTCTTGCAGCAACTGGTTCCAAAAATACTTTTTTGAAATTTCACGCAAATTTACTTAGCTAATTCGAAATAATTCAATGAGATCTCGTATATTTTTAAGTACCCTTCTGGTCGTGATGACAATCAACCTTGTGATATCTACTGGTGTAACGTCGCACACCTTGATTTTAGCACAGTTGTTAAGTCGTCTGGATCTCGCGTGAATAAACTGCCTGGTAAGTTGACGTGTCTTCCAAAGGGACGAAAGTGCATCTGTCTTTCTGTGAGCATTAACTTTTATTGAAAATCTAGATAGCTTTCGAAAATTTATTTAGGTCTACTTTAGGAATGTCGGAGCTTTCTAAGAAAGTCTCACTGACTCATGCAATCTCTTCGATGGAAAAATTATTCCCGCAAGCATACATGTTTTACCCTCGTTCATTCTTTCTGCCAGTTCATTATGAGGATCTTAAGGTAAGCATCTAGAACAGCTTTTTACATTTTTCAGACATGAATGGTGCGTTCTCATTACAAGCGTATAGGGAAATACTTTTTATCTACTGGGTTTGCAGTAAGTTTTTGTATGGAAATGTTTAAGTCTAAAGTGATTCTTCCGATTTTCAAAGTACTAGTTCCGTTCTGTGTCGTTGTCGCTGAACTTTATCATCAAGAAAGCTTTTTGAAATTTATCCAATCATTCTTAGACCTACTGGAAAGAGACGTTACTACGTTATAAGGAGCAAGGCCGAGACGAGGAGCCATATTTTATCGTTAAGCCTAATGAAGGTACGAGTTGTTTCCATTTTTATACGGTAGTTATTAACTCAGTGACTAATTCGTCACTGAAATTTACTTTTTCGTTTGATATTGAGTTATTGCTTCACGATTAAGATTTTATCGATGGTGCTGAGGAAGTTTGTTTAGGAGCGCAGGGTACCGGGATTTACTTAATTAACGATCTAAGTCAGATTAAAGATCCAACGATGGAACAACTCGTACAGGTACGTACAGTTTCTTTTCTAGAATTCAATGTATCATTTTTGATCTACAAGCATAAGTTTCTCTGTGTTCGATGTTGTATTGTTCCTAGAGGGACTGGATTTATTGCATTAAATTGGGCTAACGAGTATAGGGACAAATTAAAGAAATGAATTAATTTGTGGGAACAAGAAATATAAGAGGAAACCACAAGAAATCAACAGATAAGCCTTNNTAGACCTACTGGAAAGAGACGTTACTACGTTATAAGGAGCAAGGCCGAGACGAGGAGCCATATTTTATCGTTAAGCCTAATGAAGGTACGAGTTGTTTCCATTTTTATACGGTAGTTATTAACTCAGTGACTAATTCGTCACTGAAATTTACTTTTTCGTTTGATATTGAGTTATTGCTTCACGATTAAGATTTTATCGATGGTGCTGAGGAAGTTTGTTTAGGAGCGCAGGGTACCGGGATTTACTTAATTAACGATCTAAGTCAGATTAAAGATCCAACGATGGAACAACTCGTACAGGTACGTACAGTTTCTTTTCTAGAATTCAATGTATCATTTTTGATCTACAAGCATAAGTTTCTCTGTGTTCGATGTTGTATTGTTCCTAGAGGGACTGGATTTATTGCATTAAATTGGGCTAACGAGTATAGGGACAAATTAAAGAAATGAATTAATTTGTGGGAACAAGAAATATAAGAGGAAACCACAAGAAATCAACAGATAAGCCTTGTGGATGATCTTGTTTTGTTGCACTCTCGCTGTGTGCATATTAGAGTTACAAAGTCGTTTCAATTTCAAAAAATTGTTTCATCTCACCCTTTATATTATGCTATGGTTGGGTGTGCTCTATGGAACTTCTTGTTGGCACTGGTCATATGTAAACATAGTTCCAACCGCCTTATCTTTTTGTGAGGGACATCAGAATGAGCGTTTTTTTCGATACCTGTAATGAAGAGGTGCTGGCACAGTCATCAGCCACCTTCTTCCATCTACCTACTTTTTTTTGTATTTAGCAGTGTGACTACACCAATGTGCGGTTGTGTTACATTGATGACACGACTGGTCTGCGAACCATAAGCGCACAGGATCTGTTTGTTGAATAAGGTGTGTTGCACCGAAAGTCGGAGGTAACGAGCATTGCGATGAGTTAGTATCGCACCCACTCACAACTAGCTCGGTGTTCTTACAAATTCACGATATGGTAGATTGTAGAGTCCTTTCTTAAGTGATGTCAGTATGAATTAAGCTTACGAATTACGGTTATATTTTCGGATCCTCATTACGTGTTTGCCATGAATGTTGTAGTTCAGAGTGGAAGATCCACACGAAGGCTTCAGTGACTGCCGTTCGAGGAAAGACGGTCATGGATTAGTACGTGCTTTCTCCTGATCTAAATTTAACGTGTCAAAGAGATGGCTTAAACTTCTACAAGAAGAGCTCAGGACATTCAGAATACCGCGTCAGTGATGGCTGCATGTGGCCGATGCTTTTTCCGACAACGATCTATTGTTACGTTTTGATCCAAGTAATTTGTTTCGACTACCTATGAGGGCCTTCAGCAATATATATTTTAGCTCAACATCTAGGAACAAGACGAAAATGATGGATGGCTTGAATAGTTTACAAGTGCATAGAAAGTGTAATGAAGAGGATGGAAAACATCTGGCACCGCATTCGTTCCCTTGACCTCTTTGTTTTGATCCGTTTTAGTGTACGCTTTAGAAATCTGGAAGTCACTCAAGGAAAATGAAATATTACTCAGTGCTGCTTGAAAAGCAGGTGTCTTCTAGCGCTTTCACTGTGTTTATATCAGAGTTGGGAAGTCGACATGATGAGTGACTTTGAGGCAATTCTGCACAGGATGAAAAGAGCAGTGTGGAGAGCTTAGAACCTCATCGTGTGTATTCAAGAAACCAGAAACTTAACAATTACCTTGGCCTACCGTCTATTATATTGGCATCCTGGTTTGTCTATTTGTTCATCCATTCGCTTGACTTATCTTGGGTGCATCGCAGCCCTGATTTTTTTCAGAAACAAAACCAGTTTTTAGCAGAACTCATATAATTCGAAGATTTCTCTATGCCGTTTAAGATAAGATTTTGACCAATCGCTTTCAGGAATGGCAAAGTTGGATCAAACACGTTCCTATTTCAACATTTTCTTTGCAACAAAATGTTCAACACTTTCTCCTTCTTTTCTCTCCCCCCCCTCTCTCTCTCTCTCTCTCTCTCCCTCCTATCGCTTTACGACCATGTCGAATTCGATTAATTAAAACTCACTCAACAGCTGGAACGCTAAGTTTCTTGTCGCGAGAAAGCAAGGATTAGTGCTTTCCAAACTAGTAAATGTTACTCAACGATGGACACAAATAAGTGCAATCTTATTGCATTCGAATTGATATTACCAGAAAACTAAACAGTATTTATTACCCTAGAAATAGTGGGTATCATCATTCGGTGATTAGCGACATCGTTGATGAAGAAATAAAAGGCACTAGTTTGATTTTTGACACCCAGCATTCTCCACCAATCCACGTGAGAACGCCTAAGCCCTGCTATCTCCAAGATTGCAAGGAGAATTGACTCGACCAGCATTTTACAACATTCATGAAGATGACGAAGTCCTCAAGCAACAGCTGAAGCAACACGTAAGATCTTCGAAGACCATTGTGGACGATGAATGAGAAGGAAAACGTATTGAATCCGAGAAGTGCTGGGATCAGCACAGTAGATGCGATGACGGGTCATGTAAAATGTGGTAAAATAAAGTCACCGTGCAATAGTGTCACGTCACTAACTTTTAGCTTCGCGTGTTTTTTCTTGTGATCTTGATTTTCTGTTTTCTTTTCAATTGCCTCTTCCATTTGACATCTGAAATTGTTCTTTTTCAGAGGCAGAAATGAATCCTCGTTAACCTCCTTGATAGGCGATGCACCAAGTTTTCGAATGACATTCGAATTGGTAAGTGATCTTTAATGAGTTTTTTAAATTTCCACTCTTGTATTTTATTTATGGGGATATCTCATAACGTTTCAAAGTATTAACTATGTGAAATGCAACCACAATGATGCTGAGATGTTTGTAAAACTCCGTAGCGTAGGTGTCTGCGGTGGGGAACGAACACGCTGTTACCCTTTCCGGTGGCTAACGCATTCACCAGCACACCAAGTGGATCCTTTGTTTCGCCTGTCTCTCGGCCAGTTCTATGGTAGTGATCGATAGAACTACCTGAGAGACAAGCGAAACGAAGGACACACATGGCGTGCTGGTGAGCGCGTTAGCCTCCGGAAAGTGCAATAGCGCGTTCGTTCCTCACCGTAGACACCTGCGGTCCGGAGTTTTGCAAATATCTCAGAATCGTTGTGGTTGCGTTTCGCCTATTACCCTGCGTAAAAATGTTAGAGGCAGAAAATGAAAAATTAACATTATCAACTACGTGTTTCTGCATGATCATCTTGCCGAGCAACTGCAGACGACCCCCGAAAGAATCCAAAGGCATGAGCCATGCGTCATTCGGAAAACGATGCGTGTGTAGATGGTGCAAAAGGGATATCTTAGTAAGCGCAGTGCCGTTGTTCAGGTTCAGGCTGGAGTTCGAGTTTGGAAAGTGGAAAAAATTTTGTCTTGATTTGGATTCGCTTTATCAACACGGTTGTATCCACATGATTGGAAACTTGTGAGCGATACAACAATGCTTCAGCATGTGCATCGACTCGTGAACTTGTCAACAGAGGAATTTTCTCAAAATTATGGCAACACCTGCGAAACTTTGTTGAAACGAAATTTTCGAGATTGCTTGCTGAAATTTAAACTTGAGATCTCCGTCACTACTTAACATATTCGTTGATTTCAAACCACTTTTAAAGGCAGGCCATGTCTGGTCATGGGTATAGCATTGTGTTCGCTATAACATGGCATTTTTTGGTGCTTGCAGTACCAAGGGCGACGATTTTTTATTTCATCCATTTTTTATTTCTCATTCTTTTTCCTAGTCTCGGGGAAGAATCTCATATGATTCGTGAGCAGATGTTGAAGAAACTGAGCAGCGAAATGAAACGGAACCATCACCTAAGTGTACGCCATGAAGCGCTCATGTTCCAACAAGGTAATTATTGTACTCCATTATTACGTTTGCTGTTATATTATTATAAGTTAGTGTTCTCTTTTTGAGGAGAGCAGTGGTTGTTAGTGGTAAGATTTATACAGTACTGCCTCAGAGTCTAGAGCTCATATTAACACGCAGAGTACTTATCCCAACACTTTAGTAACCCCAGCAGGAAAACTGAATATCTACATTTCAGTCGCATAATAGACAGCTCCTTTTATGCGCGCACCGTTTTCTTCTTCATATTTCTTTCAGTTATTTGATGAAGACCAACCGCAGGGAGTTTTACACGGGTTATGAATGTGCGTGGTTCAGGTCAATGAATCATCCAGAGGTGTGGAGCAAGGCCACTCCTAATAACAAGACTACGGTTCATTTTCGAGCTTTTTGAATTCATCTGAAATGACTGTAAAGTTTTCTGCGCTGATCTCAGTATCCATGGGCACGGATTTTGACTTTTACTTCAAAATCTTCTCCATTCTGTCTTTTGCACCATGCGTACCCCGTAAAGTGTCTTGTTTTACTTTAGTTAAAAAACCTTTGAAGGACATTAGATGTAAGTTTTTCATGTAGAGCTCTCCATCTTTACAGCGGAGTATAAAATATCCGTGTTAAAACTGTTGAAACGCTCCGGAAAAATTCAAAACTGAACCTAAGGAAGGAGTGCTTTGTCATCACGCACGACGTAGCCTCACACTTCAGGCTGATTTTTTGCCCTGAACGAGGCACATTCCTCACCCATTTTGGACTGTGTGCGGCTGGTCTCCTTCAAAAAGTGGAGGATTTATAAGGAGCAGAACCGTGAGTGTTTAAAAGAAGGTGTTCACTATGATGATGAGATTTAGGTTTTGAGTCTTTTTTTTGGCATCATTAAAGCCCTTGGCTAAGTGCGTAGGGTGTCAATTTGAGTTTTACAGGCTCCGAAGAAAGAGAAACCGCCAGAACATCAGCAGAGTATCGAACAACTCTTCTTGTTAACAACCTCGTGTCTGATCAGGAAGAAAGCCTTGAGTTATACAACAATGCCGAGATTAACAGAAAGCAGGTTCTGGGAATTATTTGCAATTATTAGTTTTTTAATGTAATCTGAACTGATAAAGTTCCAATGAACTTTGTTCACCTTCGCAGTAGTTTATCATGGTGACTATTGGAAAACGCGATTTATCCCAGAGGAACGAAACTGAGTAGTCTTTTGCAGTCCAGAACTTTTTAAGACATAGAATATCAAAGAGAATCTTCACGAGCCCTGATGAGAACCGATTCTGAGACCATTTCCAAACGAAGGAAGCGACCCCGGTTTTCGGCATCCATTGGAAATTTTCAAATTAGTACTGAAGTATACGAATGATTAGACTTTGATCAGGCAGCAACTAGATGATTTCACTCAGCAGATTGTAAAGCAGGTAAGAATTAGTTGTATGTTTTGTCAAGACTACGGCTACTACCTTTAAGCAATACAGTGCGGCGTAGGCAATATCGTTGGTTGCTAACGTTTTCAGGAGTGGTTTCCAACTGAGTTTAAACTTTACACGGCTTTTTCATAGTACGTGACTCGAACTAGGATGGAAGGTGCAGTTTAATAGTGTAAATTGGGGATGGATTGGATGAGCAATAGAACGGGAGGGTGAGTAAAATTGAGAATATAAATACACTAAATGAAGCAGCTTTGTTCTTGTTTGCTACTCTGCTAAGAGCATTACTTGAAGATTTCTAAGTATTTTGAATAAGGAGTTTTAAAAGTGGCATCTTAGTTCAAGTTCTGGTTGTCCCACCGTTCCTCGTGTATTACCATCGCAGTTAGCAGTTTATTAGCGTCGCCATGATCATTTGATGTGATTACAAGCTGTGTAACAACAAAGCGTATCAACAGTCCATATCAAAGAGAACGGATATTTGTGCGGTTATCCAACCGAATCCACAGTAACTCCATCAAAGGAGCTCAGTCGAGATGTTGTCGTTTGTTGTTGCACGCAGTCGGGACATTTGCTCCTACGGAAAT